ATGTTATCTCTCTGTTATTATGTATAATACATACATAATAACAAAGCACGTGCTTTGATATATCTCTGTATATAACCTGATTATGCTCTGTCGGTATCCGGAGTAAATGAAGTTAAAGATAGAGATAAAAATGCAGTCAATAATCGAGCATTGTCGGATAAAAATACAGAATGTCTTGTTGGTGCATGAAATCTGAAAGACTCCATTGCAACACTTTTTTAGCATCGATTTTTTAAGACTGAAAAGTTTGAAATAATTAACTTTGTACCAGTTTTTCACTCACAAAGGTTTAGTTGATAAGCTTTGCACTAAGTGACTTGTCTGTAAGCTGAAAAGTTCTGGACTTCCACATATATATTTACATTATGACAAAAAAAACTTTTTAAGAAATATTTGTAATTAATAAACACATTATTATTTAATTTAAAAATATATATTACTAATTTAAATAATTATGTAATAAAGTAAAAAATTTTTTATAGTTTTTTTTTTGTCTTTAAACACTTCTGTCACCAAGCTCTTGTTTTTTAATCATTCTTAATTGTAATTAAAATTTCCTAGTAATTAATGTGATTATTGTGATTTTAACTCAGGATGTGGATATAAAGTAACTTACTTTAAATGAGCAATTATTTATTGTGAAATTGTCACAATGCCAAGCTGCAATTTTTAATCATATTTTTAATTTATTTAATTTAAAATATATGCTCTCCACCTCAAATTAGTACTGTAGAGTCTTGTCCCTGTAAATCATACTTTTCTGTTAGAAATGGAGTCATGCTTGTCATCTATTTAACTCCTTTCAGGGAAAACTTTTTGAATTGAAATAATATGACAGAAGTTCATATATAGTTAATTGAGCCTCCTGCTCCTAAGGTTTCTTTATCTGGTCTTAAATTTCATTTATCTAACACCATTCTCAAGATTAAGGAAAGGCAGCCAGGTGGATGACAGTGGGTATTTATAAGTCTACAATTTTTTAAATTGCAGCTCAATGAGCTATAGAGACGTGTCTTTTTTCATGAGAACAAAATTTATTTTGGGGGTAAGAAATATGTACAGATGGAGTATAACAAAATAATTGATAATTAATATAGTAAATTGTCTTCTGAGAAATGATGTTCTGAACAGTAAACATGTTAAGTTCAAAGGAAATAGAATTCATCAGGTAACACTGTCCATCATTCCATGAACAGTTTGTTTTTAATATCTAATATTTAACCAGTTTCAATCTTTAACATTTAATCAATAATTCCTAATTCAGAAATAAAATTGCAATAAATTTGAAGATAGGCTAGTTCTATTTTCCCTTTTTCCTAACTTCCCTTAGAAATCGATGGTGAATGGCAATATGTTTAGATCGGGAATGGTAAATTGGGTTTTTTGCCATAAGTTGGGAACTTTTGTAAATGACAGCTTTTTGTGTTCCCAGTAAAACTATTATTTTATTTATAAGTCTTCATACATGTATGGTCTCTTTTGATGTTTCTGCTAGTGCTACATACTTGACAAAGAGGTCTTGTTGCTTGTTTGCTTTCCAGCTGATGACTGCATTTGCCAATTTGAAAACAAATACTGTATAAGATTTTCTATCTTCATCTGCACCCCAGTGTCTTTAAAGTCTGTTAGAGGTTTTACCTTTTTCTTAAATACAAGTCATTTTCTAACACTTTAAGTACCATAATACTTGTTTTCATGTTCTCTAATGCTGTTTTATAGCTTGTATTAAATTTACTTAACATACTAACTACATGAGCAATATCTGGACACATTGAGATTGTGCAATACATTAATTCATTGAGATTTTGATAAGGATACTTTACAGTTTTATTGGAAAAACATTTTTCTGGGCCACTCTGTCCCATCAAAAAACATTCAAAAAAGGAAACTCAAATAGTACAAACAATTATTTATTGTGACATTGTCACAATGCTGGGCTGCAAGACTTCTGATTCAGATTGGAGGTTCCTATATAGTTAATTATGGTTAGTTAAGCTGGAAGCTTTCTAAATTTGATCTGCATTCTACTGGTGTCTTGCTCCTGTTCTTCATACTTCTCCTGATAAAGTCATACTAGTCATCTAACTCCATACTTGAAAAATTTTGAATTGAAATCATATGACTTCCAGTCTAGACTGGAAGTTTATATATACTTAATTGGGGCCACCAGCTCTAAGCTTTTCATATCTGGTCTCATTTTTCATCTATCTCTGTTCTCAAGAGTAAATGGACACACAGCTGACAGTGGGAGTTTATAGGTCTGCAATTTGAAAATTGCAGCCCAAATATATATTTGGAAACAGAAATTCAAGCAAGAACATGCAGTATTTTTCATTGAGCATCTTTACGAAGTTCAAATGTGTGGGCAATTTTTAAAAACTGTTCACACATTTGAATAAAAATTTTATTTTAAATTTTTTTAAGAATTAAGTATTCATTATAATTTATTGAGAATTTTTGCAGTAAAGAAATATTACATAATTTCATGATTGTAAAACAATTATATCTTTATTTTTTATGTATTTTTTACATAAATAAACAGGCAATTGAAAAATTTTTATACATCTTTAAAATTTTACTTTATTATGCAGTTATTATGCATAATAATATCTATAAGGGTGACATTTAAGTGAATGAATATCTGATGCATGTGCTCATGCATGCACACATGCACGCAAACACACAAGGTACATTATATTTTATCAGGTCATGTATTTTGTATGGAGACTTCAGCTCACTACAGTACTCTGTGTACAGTATAGTATTATCATCATTCTCAATTCATTTATGAATTTTGTAAAGCTGCATATTTTGTAATTTTTATTCATGTTTAAGTATATATATCATATTAACCTTATGAAGCTTTGCAAATATCAGAAACAGAATAGAACAGAATCGCACCAAAAAAGGTTTTCTCTAATAGAACTCCACCTGAAGAAAGTCCTAAGGTGGACCAAAAACTTTTGTGGTACGTTAAAAATATTTGCAAAGCTTCATAAGGTTAGTGTGATATAACTTATATATATTGTCAACTCTGTTTTGTTTATAAGATGGAATTTATTCATGTTTAAGTATTTTTCAGTTTTTAATTGTATGTTATATATCATTTGACATCATTTAAAATAGCAGTAAATGATACATTCTTAAAATTGATCTATTGTAAATAATTATAACAAACTATAACACCTACAGCAAATAATGACTTATTATTTAAATTAAGAAATTTGTATAGAGTATATAAGTTGATATTTTACATTATAGAGTTATTATTTATTTATATATTTTTCTGAAAAGTTTAAAAATTTCTTTCTAGAGTTGTTTGATTTATGAAATTTTTACAGTTTTATTGTATCATTAAGATAAAAAGCCAATAATAATTATGTAATGCATTGTATACTAAATCTCTAGCCTAAAAGAAAACATTTATTGTATCCTAAAGGACAAAAAAAAACAATAGCTATTCTCTTAAACTTGATGATACACTTATGCTACTAAAGTTAACAGCTTTTACCTATCATTTGGCAACTGATGGTCTGAGAACAATACATAGTATCATGTGCCAGCAGTTGACATGGCAATTAATATTTCTAAGGGATAATTGAAGCATGTATTTTTGCTATAAATAAAATAATAGATTGAGAAGAATACATCTGAAAAAATGTTTGTATTATATTTTAAATATTGTCTGATATCATTTTGTTTTAATTTTAATTTAGTAAATTTATTACAGATTTTTTCATTGACATAACTGGTAATGCAGTTGTTGTTGCGACTATGTTAAGTTGATCTTTCAGAGTTTTTTAAATTATTTAAATTAATTTAATTTTTGATTACTAATATTAATACAAGATGACAGCCTGACCATTTATTTTTAAATGAAGTTCATTAGCTGAATTATTCTTAATGGGCCGCAATTTTTAAAAATTGTAGATCTATAAATTCTTGTTGGCATTGTCTGTCTCTCTGTTCTTCCTTAATCTCAAACAAAGTTAGATAGATGAATGTCAAGACCAGATATGGAAAGCTTAGTGGCAGGCGGTTCCAATTAACTATATACAAACTTCTAATTTGGACTAGAAATCATATTACTTCAATTCAAAAATTTTCTTCTGAACAGAGTTAAGTAGATAACCAGCATGACCCCATAGTTAACAGGAAAAGTATGATGCACAGCAGTGTTTTTCAACCTTCTTGAATACGCGACCCCTTTACAAGTTAAAAAATTCTGGCGACCCTCTAGGACCATATTAAAACTATATCAGTGATTTTAAAAACTATGTATTTAATTTTCTTTCTGTTGAGACAAATTATTGTTGATTAAAATGAAAATTTCAGAAGAATCGACAATAATTTAACATACATAAAGTATGAAACTTCCTTTAATTATAACATTAGGCACAGGGAACTGTTGACTTTTTTTTTTTTTTTTTAGGATCTGAATTTTCAGCTTCTACTTTTCTGCTTTTTATTTCCTTTTGCAAATTAGCTCAACACTTTTTC